ACACACATATATATATACACACACACACATATATAAATACATATACTTTACACATTACACACACACACACACGAACACACACTGTATAGGTATACGCATATTATAAAAGCGGCGTCAGACTGCAACAACCGGAAGATTGCGGCGTGACCAATCGGCCGCACGTTTGACTCGCTGGCGCCCGGACCGACCGACGATGGACCTATATAACCGTATTTTCGTATTATCGTCGTTGGTATATTATCTGCGTCGTTATGTACTACACGGTGTTATTGTTGCTTTACATATATATTTTATTGTTTTTATATTATATAAATATAAAAGCTGGCTCACGCTTTTTATTTAAATATAAATTACAATTTACAATGATATACCGGTACATTTTACAGGGGGCGCTCACATAATACCACTGATACTCCGCTGTAGCATCGCGTTGACTTCATGAACCGTCGTTAATGTCTCCGATAAATGTAATCGATAATATATCGTTACTATGATTATACATTTTCATCTTCGTTTGGGTCAACACCCGCTCCTTAAGTAATTTCCGATCTCGTATTGTTATATACATAATATAGTTAAACATATTATATTAACGATACATTTCTAAAATGATCAAGTAAAAACTCTATTTGCTCGTACATCGATATAACACACCTATATCTATGAACGCGCGTAATGCACTATAGTTCGCACGTGAGATATTGGCATGTGCATCGTGCACTTAGCCCGACTGTTCAATATATCTACACATGCTGCTATCAGTATATTATATTGGTTTAACTTTTGTAAGCATATGAAACACACATAATGTATATTTGTCTATTTAATACAAAGATATCATTATAATATATTGTATGTGTATTCGTGGTGTATACACGATCTCGTTGTGTATATACACATCGTATAATCGACTTTTATCGGGAGAAAGTCGTTCGTTTCATCATCGTCATCATCTGAATAACGTACCCTTACGTCTGGTTATTGTTATAGACCGTACACAGTGACCTTTATATCGGGTCGTAAAAGCTTAATTTCGAGACGTACCTATTATTTTTTTATTTTTTTATTAGCCCCTGGACGAAAATGAACTTTGCCAAGACTCATCGATTCGTTTCATATACGCACAAAAGAACTGGTATTTTTCATGGTTTAATACAATACGATGACTTAAAAATATTATACATCTATGAATTATAAAACACTAAAGAAAAATATAGCACAAATCTACAGTAGAGCAAAACAACGTTTCATTGTCATCAACATCAATTTCCAGTTTTTCTAACTTTAAACTATTATGATTTATGATACATAGAGATATTGTTTTAATAATTTTTAATTTTATTCGTGAACCGAATGTTTGTCTAGAATTGGGTTTGCAAAATAAACTTTTTTTTTCAAAAACATAGTTGATAAGTGCAGCGTAGACATATTTTCCATTATTAGTATCTCAATTCATATAGCCTTGTGTCGCGCCCGATACTCCCAGCAAGCACAAATCAGTTTGGTATGCGTCCTCAACTTGAATCCCACAACAAATGTGACGAAAAGACCATACTGCAACAGCCGCGACAAGGACGGGAGTGCGCACAAGAAGGGCGATTGGAAATTCCAGTAAAACACAATGAGACATTGTGGGAACGGGCACAAAAGGACGTCCTTCAGTTGCGATGTCTTGTACTCTTGTTAATATATATATATATATGTATGACAGTCCTAGTCTATAAGTGTCTATATAATACACGTATATCTCTATACATAAGCCTGCAGTGGCGGACAACAATGTTTTTTACGAGAAAAAAAAACAGAAAAGGGAAATTTCGTTTTTTCAAAATCTTACTGTACTTACTACTTACATTGTGCAATTAATACAGTCGTTTACTCCATAATTCACTGCAGCCGGCTATGTTTGGAGTCGATTGCAGCTGCCGAAAATCTTGTCAGCCTAAAAAAAATGCTCTCATAAAACAAACACAATAATAATAGTAATAAATTCTATCCTTTCGCCGATCGCGGCATTGGGAAATTATTAATTATTGTTTTAATATGTATACCATTTTGTCTCGAAAGCCGTTTCGTAACCGTTCCGTATTTCACCTGATTGGATTATTATTGCTATATTATAATTTTTTTTCTTCGAAATGCTAATCACTTTATTTTATTTTATACGGTCTACGGCGGCCGTGTCATTTACAACCAGGGGAACCACACCTGTATATTATCGGTAACCAGGTGTCAGCGCATTTTTTTATTATTATATGTATATAATATATGTGTAATTTTTTTTCTTGTTTCCGGCAACCCGAGTTTATTATTCGAGTGCAAAAAGGTTAGCTGAAACCCAACTCCTATTGTTTTTCGAATAATTTAAAACGAAAAACATCGATCACTACAAAAGCCAGACCGCTCAGTCTGACGACCTACAGCGTACGCGTTTGTCGGGCGAGACACCGCCAACATTACAGTAGTATTAGCTGCAGTCATACGGTTATAGGTTATTAAGCCTCACACATAACATTTTGCTGCTTCAACTGGAAATTTATCATTTTTTCTGCATTATGTAATATAAAATATAATATACGACCAACAATGATCGTCTGATGCTTTGCATCTGTTTACAGTTTTTATTTTTATTATTTTTTTTGTTTATATTGATTGCCGTCGCCCAAAAATGCGAATTATTAAGTGGTTATCCCTCGCGCAGCAATATTGAATTGCAACTGGGAGGGTACGAAATCGATCCAAAATAAAGACACCGCAACGATTTGCAGTGTGGATACGGTTCATTGATTTGCGGGGCACGTTTTATTTAAAATTTTTTTTTTGGTCCTACCTACACTTGAACGAGTACCTATATAAAATATTATGGGGACCATCATACTGCATGCCGCACGGGCAGCTCGTGTGTGACTAATGATTTTGGGGGCTTTCCTTCCGCGCTCCCGTCGAAACACACCTGATCATTGTCAACCCCTCGTCGACTTCGGTTTAACCTTTGCGATTTATTGTCAAATTATATTTTGCCTATCAAACAATTTTTTTCGTATTTATATTTATAAGTAATAGGTTATGTGGGTAAGTCCACGAGTCCGTCTTAATTATATACTGGCGCACAATAAACGCGTAATACTCGCCACAATGTATAGTTACCTATCCGTATACCTATTGGCTATTGCTTTCACTCCGTCTAGACTCTAGACCGTTTTGAAAATCGATTATCGCGGACGTATAGTGCGCGGGGCATTATATAGAAATCGGATTATATCGTACGGTATTTTTTTTTTGTGATTTTAGAAACGAAATCCGTTTAGCGCGAACAACACGAGAATATTAATTAACGGCCCTGTCGCTGTGTATCAGGTCCTGTTTTGTCTTATTTGGTGAATTCCGGTCCATAAAAATTAATTGCCGTCGGACAGTGGGCAAAAAAATCGCGGCTGGCGTTATAGCAGGTGCCGTTTTTTTACGACTACCTATAGTTATTTTTTAACTCATTCCATGCGCACAGATTCTGCGTATTTAGTTCGTGCACACTATATAATAATATGCAGTATAAATTATATTTTAAATGCACCACGTGTCTCGTCCACAGGTCTCCCGATGCCATTGCGTCAAAATTGCATTTCCTACGTTCCTCTGTGGTATCGTCCGCGGTAATTTCCGATTCACACTGGAAAATCACACAGACATTTGATGTAGCCAATTACACTTCCGACGAAGCTGAACTCGCGAGTTAATATACTCATTTTCAAAAACGTCAGTTTTTTATTTTTCCGTCCGGTTGGTTGTCCAATTTGAGTTCATATTGTCTCGTCTGTACATCGGTATATATGTACACAATACATGTATATATATAGGTACAATATAATATAATATAGTGAGTCTTTTATTCGAACATACTTTGGCTTATAGTATCGAGACTTTCGATTTACTGTTTTACGTGCGCGAAATACGAGGACGGCGGCGCCTGCAGTCGTATAGGCGGAGTATACAGAAAATAAAAATTGGAAAAACGAAAAGTGTCATATTATATTATTATACATGCGAGACCCGCGCACGCGCACTCGCCCGCGTGAGTTCTCCCACGTCCATATACGTGTCCCATTATATCATATGTGTATAAATATATAACATTATATTATTATCCTTTTGTGGGCATCGCATATAATAATAATATTATGTACTGTATACACGCGTCGCCGCCGTGAAAAGGACACGCGGGAACCGATGGCCGGAAGCGATACGTCTATATACTATATATTAATATCATATTATTACATATTATGTGTATATATATATATACTATATAGACACCTCCCGTGTCCGTTGGACGTATATCACTTGATAATATTATTGTAGTGCGAGAAAACTGTATAATATATTATACTCACGCCGAGGCGCCGGGCGCAACGACGACGACAACGACGACACCGAAGACGGCCGCGTTATTATTATCATCGTCGTCGCGGTATATTATAATAGCGTACGCGCGTCTGGTCCTTCAATACAATAATATATTTTTTTTATATATATTGCGTTATTGTGGGTGTTCGAGTCATTGTATTAAACCGACAATACATACCGCCTATATGTTCACATTATATTGGTACGTCTCTCCGGGGCGATCGTCGCCATATTCGTTGTAAATTATTATTGGTTTTCAGTTAGCTGTGTTGATAATATATTATAATATATTATAGGCTTAACCAGTCGAAAATTAGGTCAATAGCTTGAGTTTTTGAGAGTTGATTTCCATTCGTACGTCACAATAATTTGATTTCTCTCTTCGACTTAACTGGAAGTAAATATTTGAGTTGATTTTGAATTTTTTCACCATGTAGGAAAATCAACATTTTATTTTTGTACGCCCTTTCTTAGATTTTTTATATTATATCTACGATATTCCATCAGTTTGGGCTCTTAGCACAGCTGTTTTATTTTAAATATATTACAATAATTAGCACTTGCATGTAAATAATAGTATGCGTATTATATGATTGCAGGTTGAATGGTGACAATGGCCGATACGGGATTGTTGGCTGCACCCGCGGCGGCGGCAGCCCGGCACAGCAAAGTGCAAACGCCGCCGCTGAGCGTGTTCTCGTCGGCCGAGGACACGGATTCGGAGGCCGAAGCCGATCGAACCCGTGACGAGGAAGACGATGACGACGATCACCAACACAAACACCAACACCATCACCACCTCCAGCAGCAGCAGCAACAACACCACCGCCGCCGTCAGCGTCAACTGCAGCAGCAGCAACACGCACTGCAGCAACAGCAGCCCGTTTGCTTGGCAGCCAGATCAAACGCGCCCGCCGTCAACCACAACAACAACAACAACAGCAACAGTAACAACAACAACAACAATATTAACAATAATCACAGTACGCGGAACAAGCGGAAAAATTTCCAGCCGCGAAACATCAGCTATACGCAGGACGCGGCTGAAGACGGTTGTGATGGCGGCAATGGGGGCGCCGGCGGAGACTCGGCAGCGGCCGGCGGCGACTCGACCGCGGCCGCAGTGCTCGACTTGAGCGCGTGCACCGGGTCCACCGTGGCCAAGCGGCCGCGCGTCGACGACGGTTCCGCACCGATGGATCTCACGTGCGCCGTAGCACAGCCCCCATCGGCTGGCGCGGTACCAACGGACAAGCGCCCGTCCACCGTCGCTGCGGCAGCAGCAGCCGCTGCCCATGGAGTCCAGCACCTGCTAGCGGCCGCGGCCGCCGCTGCCGGCCACCACCAACACCACCAGCCACACGAAGCGACCGACTTAAAGGAGTATGCCCAGAACACAGTCCGCGAGCTGCTGGAAATCTACGGGCTCAACACTGACGTGGCCGACGCCATCACCAACAACGTGCCGATGGTTAACTTCTCTACCGGTAAGTCAAAATACATGGTATATGATAAACACCAAATAATGATAATTTCGCATTATGTAAGATACTATACTTTAAGCGTCGAAAGAAAAGTTATCGGCTCAGATCGGTCGTATGTAACGTATTGCATATATTGAATAGTTTAGTAGACGGATTATTTGAACTATTTTCAGGGCTACAGGGTGACAGTTGAAGGAGATATTCAAATCTTCAAACTAATTTTGAGTTAATATTGTATAAATCAATACAAATTAATTTAAATATTAATCAAACATTAAATCAGACATTTTCTAATCGGGAGTATAAATTGTTTAATAACTAAATTTTAAAATTGTAATTGGCAAAGTTTTTAGCTGAAATTATTACATAGTAAGAAAAACATCTAAGAAGAACATATTTCTTAACAATATTTTAAAACAAGTAAACATACAATTTAAAAAGTAACTTATAGTAATAGTTTGAAGCTCATAACAAAAATAAGCAACCTTATTAACTCAATTTTCATTTTAAACTCATTAATTTTAACTCACGATTGCGCATCAAACACCGACGCGTGATGCCAGCGTCACCATACCGTCTCGTCGTTTTAAGCTCGATACGTCCATATTTTCGTATAAACCGAACTGGTAACTGGTAACTGGTATGAGGCTCGCTTTTAAAACAGTATGGACCAAAAGCCGATAGGCAGTCTCGTCGCCCTGTAAAGGACTCGACACTATGTGCGTGTATACGATATAGATAATGGATATCCTAACGATGAGAAGATGTTTACATAATGCGCGCGGTAGCTACGAATAGCTTGGCCCGAGGACGTTTCGAATATTGAATTCGTGTCTGAACCGCACACGCGATCGATTATTAATAGCAGCAGGTTATATATCGTGTATGTATACTATATTGTACATACATGTATGTGTGTGTGTGTGTGTTGATATGGGCACGCATAGGACCTCCAAAGTATGATGATTATGTATAATATGGATTGTACTAGAGAAGAGGTTTTTATGATAATATAATGTAAATCCGGATGCTTTGACGCAACCATCCGTATTTAGGTATGTATCGCGGTTTCAATTACACGAAAACGTGTTTCTTCGCAGAGTGGTCGTCCGATCGACCGAGATGAATTGATTAATGCATACGTATGAAAATATAAAACAATAATTAAAACGTCTTGAGGGGCCGCCCAATGAGCTCGCTCGCAACGGTATAATATAATAATAATACTTTAGGCAAAGCACGTAAGGAATTAGGACCAGTTGGAAAAAATCATATTGAAAAATTACAACCCGTTTGGACCAATTACTTATACGGGATTTTTTTTATATATATCTCAGTTATAATTAAGTATTAATTATTTTAAGACATAAACAACAAATTATTTAATTAGAATATAAGAAGTTATAACAAAAAAAAATAATAATAATAATAATAATGAGCAAATTATCTCGATGGACATTTTTTCTTATATTTATAAAGTAGTATGCCCCGTCACCTATAAAGACTAAAATTTCTTAAGTTTGGATCCATGAAAAAAAAATTTGCACTCTTTAATAAATCATACTACTGTTGATCACATTAAAATGACAAGGCTGATTTATAAGGTACATGCAATTTATACAAATATTATATCGTTATCATTATAATTTTAATATAACTATATTTATAACCAGACATAGGTATAATTAAATGCATAAATATGAATAATAGAAGCAATAATAATAGTGCACAACATAGTAATTATTAATTAATATTTAAATGTAGCACGGTTACTTAAACAAGATTTTTCTTCGATTTTCCAAATCTATATTGCATGTAGAGATAATGTATGCTTACATTTATGTATAAACGATAAATTGAAAAAAAACTTAGGAAATTTTCGTTATTTATACTAGGAACCTGCGGAGCTATGACTAATAATACGAATTATAATATAACTTAACGAGTTGGCCGACCAGCGCGTAATTCTCGGAAAAACAAAAGGCGCGTTTCTTCGGACTGGAGGAGATAAAGAGAACTGTTCAACCAATTCAATAACCCTCGTTTCGCCAAAATTTCGTCGCACTGCACAACATAACATAATATTATTATTAAGTTTTATACTCGTGGACAGACTGATAACCAACGAAAATTTGACAGTTAAGCCAGGTTCACAGCTCTATGTCGTCCGACGTATCGTGTCCAAAAGTTGGGTAGAGTCAAACTCTGGGAAATTCCTGGTATACTGTGGTTACTGAATAGTAAATGATACTATAATCCTCGGCTAATCAGAATATGATAAAAGCTACACAACATTTAACAGACGCTGCAGGTTTGCAGCTATTGCTGTAAACCCGGCTTAACCCGCTTGTCGAGAGTGAACCGTATACCGTGTATACGGTTAGCTCGACCAAGCACTTACAGCGGTTGCTGTATTATAGTAGCTCGTAGGTTTTTATAACCTTATTGTTTATATTAAAGGAGGGACGCGTTCAAAGAGTTGTCGCTGAATCATTTATCTGTGAAATCCCGCGAAGTTCTGAGGCCACCGATAAACACGGTTAACCATAATGTTTAAATGTATCGTGACAAGTGGGTTAACGACGGTATTTTTTGTCAGTTTCGTTTTACGTAGGCGCGTGTGCAGTGCGACAAAATTCCAGCCTCGAATCTCAATCTATAACCAACAATTTTTGAGTGCGTATATTATGAAGAGTTGAGCAGTTGTAAAACATGTCTTGATCAGCTGTAGTCGGTAGCCATATTCCGCCATATCTCTAGGATTAAGCGTCAATTGTGAAGGTACGATGCACTAAGTTATATTAGGTATTTTAATAAAACAAGTAGATATTTACTGCATTCACAAATATGTATGAATATAGACAATTTTACTATAAATATTTAGAAATTAGAATTTCGTTTAATTCTTTTGTAATTGATCCAAACGAGTCCTACCCATTAATATCTTAAAAAATAATACAAATAACGACCGGAGACGATATTTTCACTAAAACTGCCGAAAAAGAACACCCACGGATGGCGCACCCGCGGTGAACGTCTCCTTTGTATACTTGTATAATGCTCATACGGCCTATTATAGCCTATAGATACATATTATAGTTTCAGTGACGATACACTGTTTTATATACTCATTACCGCGTACTTAAGCGAGGCGTTTGAGGTACAGGCGGGGAGGGATGGGTATTCGTGCGTATTGCAGGATCGACCTTGATGAATAATCTACTCTGCAGTTACCCACCTATAGATGTAATATCTACGACGTTTAAATTTGAAATCATTTCGTTCGGTAATTTTTTCTCATTTCTTTTCGTTAATATTTATTTTTTTATTATTCTTATTATTCCATCGCCGGACTTGTTCACACACTGCCGCCGCCGTTGCTCTACACATCATCATCATCACACACACACACACACACTAGCTCGCGCCCGCGTGTTGTATTCGTGGCACCTGTAAATTTTGTAAGAATGTGTCGACTCACCTCGGCAATCATTATCCTCATCTCAGTCGTGGGAACGATTAATCAAACCTTCCCCCCCCCCATACTTACACCCATCCACGTTTTGAATCAGTCTCTTTACACACTCGGCCGTACTAGGTATCTATACATTACGCCCGATGACTTATACCCGAGTTGCGTATTATGGAGATTTTTCTTTCTATATTTCGAATGACGCGTAATTAACAACAATATATTGCAGTTGCACACGATATTTTACACGAATACGTTTCGGATGGGTACCTAACGTCATGGAGTATCGTCCATAAGACGTCGATAGAGAGGATTTCGGAAAGCACACACGTAAAGAAAAATACACGATTTCCAACCAATATGTTCAAGTAATAAATTATAATACCTACATGGGTATATTGTTGCTTTGGGGAGCGAACGCATTATCGTTACTCGTCGCCATACACACCTACATAATAATAATAAATACTATATATGCTTGTACGACTAATGTACGCATTTTATTGGTCATTAAAGATTCGCAGAAGGGGAAAAAGAGCTGTATATAAGCCTGTAGAGTTTTTAACGAAAAAAAAAATAAAACACAAGTCTAGTGAGACTTTATTTTAATGAAAAATAAAACGAGCGTTGTACACACACACAGGGTTGTAAAAACCGTCTGTCTTTGGGAGACGAAGGCGGTGGCGGCGGACTCGTTCATTTTTTTTTTTATGGTCATAATATTCTTTTTTTAGGCCGATACAAATCGTATGCTAACATCTGCAATAAATTATGGCCAATGTGTGCGCGCTGGCCTTAAAAACATGGAAAAAAACCAAGAAAATATTCCTATAGTGTTGGCGCGGCAATAGCGGCGACGGTGGCGGCGTTGGCGGTGGTGATGTTGGTAACGTTGGCGAGGGTCGAAGGGAAAAAAATTTGCCGCAAAAACCGTCTTGAGGGAACCGCCCGGCCATGTTGGCCCCGTTTTTATGACGCGATACGCGAAACTTTTACGATAGCTTTAACTGTCCCAGACGGACGGACGCGTTTTTCTATTATATTCCGGGGTGCGTTTTATTGACTATATTTTCTTCGCCGTTTTCCCTTCCCGCTGCACGACATCATGCCGTCGCGCCCTCTCCCACTCACTCACACTCGCTCGGTGAGTCTTTCTCTCTCATTCTCTCTCACTCTCCCTCTCTCTTTCTCTCTACACCTCTGCAATATACCTCGGCGGCTCTCCGTCTATTGCCCCGCGCCACTACCGCACTATCCCTGTAGTACGATTTTTAATTGTTCGAAAAATATCGTTATATACGTATTCGAACCACCACCCTGACCGATTTCTTTTGTTTCCCTACAGCACACCCCATTGCCGACGGTTTTATTGTCGTCCATTGTCGGGGAAACGAGTCGTTTTCATAAAAAATAAATAAAAAAACAATAAAAATCGTCTCCGATCGACTTCCAATCGTACCGACAGCATAATATAATATAATAATAATCCATGATAATGTTATGCCATCACGTATCTTCCGAGTAGTTCCAA